TGTCAGGCACCTATTTTAGGTAATAGGTGTTAGCTGTTACATGTGGGGAAACCCAACAAGGAAAACGCACAATGTTTCACCTGAAGTTTAATTTTTAATGAAAAATGTTAATACTCAATGTTTCAAAATCTTCACGGCTCAAGCACACAAAACCAAGAACAAGCAGTAAAACAAGCAAGGAGAAACATACCCAGGTACTAGATTATGTCTTTGCTTTATCCAAGTTCCTTAACCAAGCAATTTCTTACTGTCATTAGTCTGTTCTCTCAATCAGTTTCCAGTTCTAGCAACTCTTGAATTTTTCTTTCCTCTGGGATTCTCTATGTCTTTCTTTCTCTTCTGTCTTTGCCCTTCTGCCTTGACTTTTATCCCTTAAAAAAAAGGCCTTCCCAACTCCAACCTCACTGGAGAAGACAATCATCCTAAGAAAAGTCAAAAGGCAGAGGAAGAGGAAGAAGTCCAAATATGGGGTGGATGGACTCAATTAGGGAAGCCGCTGCCTTGAATTTACAAGAGCTGAGCAAGGCTATCATGGGCTGGGTAGTTTGGAGGGTTATCATTCATAGGGTTGCTATAAGTTGGAGACAATTAGACGGCACATAGCTACAACCACTCAGGAGTGTAGTTTCTTTGTTCATTTCTACAAATCATCTATTTCTGGGTCTTATTTTCTCCTCCTTCTTCTTCTGATCTTGTGCTGATCTTCATAATCTCTTGGTTTACTGAGCAAGACTTCATTCTAACTAAATTTTTGACCAGTAAGCTTTTAACTTTTGGACTGAAGCCACACACACATTCACACAACCCCATAATATCCTAAAACCAACTAAATAATTGGGGTAATATGTATTTTAAATTAATGCTGAATCAATTTCAAAGTTGTTTAATTTTCCAACACTGTGCTACTAATTTAGAATTGGCTCTGGGGTAATAAGTTTTAATTTAAATGTAATTAGGAACATATGAACAGAAAGAGAAAATCAGGAGGACACAGGTCTGCGGAATAACAATGAAGCACACCATAAATATCAAATATTGTAAGGTATCTTCTAAGGGGTACATGCTGATCTTCATTCTTCAAAATATTTTTCTTAAAAAGGGCCATATTCTTCAGCTAAACCAAGCCTTTCCTCAAAGAAAGCTTAAATGTAAAGGCAGGGCTGGCAAGGGGTGGGGGACACAAATACCAGCCTCAGAGAGCCCTGTGTGCCCCCAGCTTGGGGGAAGTTCTTGTAAAAAGACCGAGACACATTCTCATCTGAGGGGTGCTCTCTCTCGCTCTCTGTGTGTATGTGTGCTAGCAAAGCCAGGAGCTGGCTGCAGACAGAGGACCGTATGGGACAGAGCAGCTTGTGCTCAGTTTATTGAGTGCAAATGACAAAGAAAATTAAGAGAAAAAGATATAATCAGACCTCTGTCCTTTCAGCCTACACTGCCAGAACACAAACTACCTTGACAGAGCGCACAGCTTGCCCCCTGCATACAGCAGAGTATTTGTCTTGTGCCATTCCTTTGCTATTATCTGGGACAATGCTCTTCCTGGCTGTCATGTCAGCCTGCCTCCAGCTTTCAAGCACAGTGGCTTGGCTTCATCAGTGCCAAGTAAAGGCAGTCCCTGCAGAAGCCAAGTTTTTCCAATGCCTTCTTAGCTGCAGGTGCATCCTGCCCCTAAGTTACTCACTTACACATGTGGTACCACACACTCTAAGTAAATGCTGACAGCATTACCCTGCATTGAAAAAGCTCCATGAGTGCAAAATTGTGCACTCTATTAGAATGGACTCTAATTACCAGGATACAGTTTACTAAACACTTGTTCTCTTATGAAGTGCACTGCACATATTTAACTTATTCCTTTATCAGCTCCACTGAGAAAGAACTCATTAAACTGAAGCTGAGAGACTACCTTAACAAAGACCACTCCAGACCCTATGGATCTCCTAGATTCAACACTTGTTCATGCTGCCCCCAAACTCTCAAAGTGTGGTACTGAGCGCCCTCAGCAAGATCTGGCACAGAAAACATGTCCTCTCATAGCAAGTGCAACCTATAGCATAGCCTGTCCTTCCGAGTTTCCATTTCTTTCCCTTCTTCTGCATGATGTTAGTTTATTGGCATGGGAATGTAGTGATTAAGAAAGGTTTGTGGTGTTAGTTGCCCAGAAGTCCTTCATGACCATGGGCAGGGTGTTTTCTAAAGAAAACCTCAGGGTGTAAGGTGTGCTGGTGCTCAGCACATAGCCACTGCACATCCTTGCAGAACTCATGCTAGTGGAAATTGGGTCACCTAGTGCCAAGAGTGGAAAACAGGTTTTGCCCTCGGCACTGTACTGTCTCCCAACTGCAGGCAATTATAGGTGTGCAGGCCAAAACCAGCTCTTCTGGGGTCTCCAGGCGGTGACTTCCCCTTATAGTGGACTGTCAATCATTTGGTGTTTTCCCCATCTTTTGCAAGGTTTTCTACCATGCTAAAAGGTTGAAATACCTCTCTGACAATGGGACCTTTAAGCTAGTATATTTTGTATTTTGGTCCTGTCCCCTTTGCCTTTGGCCCTATCCACCACTGGATCGAGGCCCACAAAAGCTTTTCCAAATTGAATTCATCCTCAGCTGAAAGGAATTCCCCACCCTTGACACTGAAAATTCTTCTGTGCAGAAGAAAGCAGCCACCATTCAGTTCTATGACAGAAAGTAATGAGGAATGTTGAGGCCCAGAAGGTGCATCATGTGGATTCCCCCCATAACTGGAGCAAAGGGCCTCTTGGGAAGGGGAAAGGCACAAACGGGTTAAAGATCCGCTCCAAGAATTCCTGATGCAGTCCAATGCGAGGCTCCTGTGAAGTAAAACCATGTCAGGGAATCCAGTCAATGATCTCCCTGCAAAAGTGCAGTTTGGCCTCCAGATTGTTAGTCATCTGTTTGCCCATTTTGTACTTCACAGCATGAAAAGGTCAAGCCTGTGACATGTAGATGTTCTCTGGAGATATTTGGTCTTGAGGGGTGTATCAATGGTCCATGGTTCAAGCATATACAATGCGTTGCTATAGAAACAGGGATTTAAAAGTAGAACATACACACAACAGCATCTGTTTCCCAGCAGAAAATATTTGACTAGAAAAGGCAAAGTTGGTGATAAACGTGCTTAGTTAAATAAATGGTGCCAGTACTTGAGATATTTTGGGCTACAGAAGCATTCACCACCATTTCTCACATGCAGCACTCCTCATGGAAAATACGTTGCCTTGAACTTTCCACTGTACATTTCAACGCGGTCCATGCCTTCTTACCCTTTATGGCATCTGTAGCACGGGGCATTTACACTAGGAAGCAGGTAGTGTGGCCAAGGAAAACCCCACGTTCTTTAAAAGAAGGGGATGGAATGGTGCCAACCTGGCAGTTTGATAGTAATACATGAATGCTTTCAACATCTCAGAATAGAAATATTATAAAAGCAAAATTATAGGGAAGAGGCAGAGGAGGTAGAGACCTAGTGATGCTACTTCAAAATTAACACACCCCTAAAACCACTGCAGTCTTTCTGGTTTTCCCTTTAATTGTTGCGAGCTCTTGAGCATGGGAAATGGCATGGCCAGCCTCTGAAAGCTACACAGTGGACCTGTTTGCATGATACGACAGCCCCGTGAGAGTTAATTTACTCTTGTGACTGCTGCATTGTACAGGTACTTGCAGGCCTCTAGCTTGCCATGTCATACAGACCCAGTCAGCAGCAGTTGTTTGAGCATCAGACAACTCTCAACCCTAGAACAAGTCATAATATATTTGAGGATTTGTCTAACCCACAAACAATCCCTGTAACCAGGATCTGCGATATAGCAAGCCACAACGAGCTGTGTACTATGTAAATATGATGACCACAGTGTGAGTAGTGTCACACCCACCACAGTAAATCAAGTAAATTCACCCACAGAGGGTCCTCATGTTAGTAATTCATGTTCAACCATACAACAGAAACAGCTCAGTACTGTGCTGAGTGGGCCCAGCTCTTGAGTTGGACAAAAGGTGACCTAATACCTCTCTTCTCTCTGAACAGGCAGCAAACATCAGCTCTGTGCAGACAGAAGACTGTCCTGTAACAAGATGGTGTTTGACATTTGAGAGCATGAATGTGTGAGTGATGCACTTTTAGAGGGAAAAGGAAATAGAAGATTGTGCTGTTTGCCATACCCCTTCATATATAAACTAGAGTTCTTGACAGATGCATTCCTACAAAGATCTTTGGGGAATGAATCTTCCTTTCTTGTGGCTGGAACATTCTACAAGGTACAATTGGAAGACATTTACCATGTGCTTTTCAGTCTTAACCAACTTTGATTTATGGAAGGATTCTGTATACTTCTCAATAAATTCTTGTTTATGAATAGACTTGCCATGGAAACTGCTGCAAACTGCATTTGAAAAAAAATCTTGGAGTTTGCCTTGTTCAATGAAGAAAATATAATCCTGTGTTGATTGCATATTTTCACGCACAGCACCTTGGGCCAAAGGAAAAGTTTAAAAAAGACTTTTTTTGCCCAGTGACAGGCATTGATACAAAACAAAATTACATGGACATTGAAAGAAACCAACAATTTCATTGAAGCTGGTTAGACAGGATGGTGGTGGTGAGAGGAGGGAACATTACCCAGTGGTGATTTTCAAACTTTTCAGATATACCGAACTTCAGTCTGCATAGTGCAAGTTTTTCCCATGGAACCACATTTTCCCATACATTTCACCTTCTCCTCCCCTCCCTTTTTAAAGCACACAAAATTACATTGATGCTGCTTGCTTGAGGTTGCGGTGTAATCTGTGGCATATTTGCTGAAGGCCAAAGATATATAGATTCCCCCCCCCCATTTTCTCATCAGTTCTCTCCTGTTAATGTTAATCATTACAATTCTAAAAAACATTTTTGAAAGTTGCATGAACCCCCCTCCCCAGAAAGTCATTAAAAGCAAGTAATTTATCACTTTGACAACATGTGGAAATAGACTCTACCCAGTTGTGTTGAGCCTTTAATGGCTTGAGTACATATCCTTTATCATCTACAAGCTCCAAGCAAATACCTGTACATAGCAGAGGATTAAGTCCCTTCAATCTGTACACAATGGGAAGCCATTTCCATCCATAGTGCATGAGAGACAGGCCAAAATCATTCTAATATTTAAGAAATCTATTTCTGAAAATAAACATTTTCTGAAAACTAGCTTGCATCGGCTGAGTTCATATTGAGTTTCTCTTCTGCCTTCAGTGATAACTATATTTATAACCATGGAAAAATAATAAACATTCCATTTTAAGTGCATGCTGGGGTTTTCTTCTTAACTAATGCTGGACATGCCCTCCCTGACTTGCTTTCTCAGACCTGTTGATGCAGTCCTGTGATAGGGTCTGCCCTAAAATTAGGACAGGTATACTCGTCAGGACCTGCCAGGGCTTTCTTATCTGTAGTCTCAGACTCATCCAAGGAAAAATACAACACAGGGGCGGTGGCAATGTTTTGCAGCCATTTTTAATTTGACCATCCTTTCTAGAACTCCTGCTGTTCCACTTTTTGGCAAGTGAATGGGCAGAGCCTGTGCAGTAGCACGAATCCCATGGGCGCACGGCAGAAAGTGTATGCTATAACAGGTTCCTCCACTGGTAATGAAACACAGCCCTGGTACTATAGGTAGATTGTGCATGATACAGCCCTCCCAAATATTGCCGATTTTGTGTCCCTTCTGAAAATAATTTGGACCTTTATCACCATTATCCTGCACTCACAGAGAAGAGTGCTGATGAATAACTAGCATTATTCTTGGTTTACCCACTAAACCACCACGGGCAGTGTTCTTTAGTCACAACTGTACTTGTTGCATCCCTGTGCAGTTCAGGTCAAGTGAAGTCCCTGCTGCCCATTCTTCTCCTGGCTCTCCTCAGGAGTCAACATGCTTGAGAAAGAATGACCAGCAGGACTCTGCTAGATGAGACTGGGGCATTTCCCTTGATATGAATTGCTAGGCTGCACACAAGCATACCTCTTTCTCTTGCCCTCTCATGGCACAGAGCAAAGGGATATGCCAGATTCTATGACACTTAGCAGCCCAGGATTAGAACGATCAAGATCATTTGTGTATTGCACTAATTCAGTAGCCGTAATTGTGTCTACAAGGCTCCACATTAATACTTCCATGCCCATTTTAGCGTGGAGAAGCACACTGCACCTTAAAATAGCAGAGTGCATGCTGAACGTCCCCGATTAAATTCCTAGAATTCCCAGCCAAAAGATCTCAGTAGCTGAGCTGGAGAAGTCATCTCCTGAGACTGGGAATCGCTGCCCGTTAGAGCATTTGGTTACATAGGCCAGTGGTCCTGCTTACCTAAGGCAGCTTCAACAAATGTTCTTCTCCCCACCCACCCCACTAGGGTACCTCTATTGGAAAATACAGCAAAAGACCGTATTTACAGAACAGGGTTATGGGTAGTCACTTTAGGACCTCTCCCCAACAACAATAAATTTGAGGTAATTTCCTCAGTATAGCAGAAGCTGTTCCAGAATGCACTAATTAATAATGTAGAGCACAGGGCTCTGAAGATGGGGGAAAGGACAATTGCTATTAGTCTACTGCATGAACTTGGGTGAGTCAATTCTTGCTACAGTTGCTCTCCAACTAAAATGTCTCTTCCTACCCCATTTTCATCTGCACTTTGGGTTTACAGAATTCTAAGCCAAGCTGGGCCTTCTGTGCGTACTACTGCTTCAAGCCGGACTCTAATTATTCCTTCTGCAGTTAACTGAGAAGGTTCTTACTTATATAGCTAAGACAAATGCAATTAAATGGCACAGTATGAAAAACAAGAGAAGACTGCAGTTCTTCTCTGCCAGGAAAATCCTCTGTCAGCAGTCCTTGGAAGAACTAGTTAAAGGTGGCATCCGCAGATTAGCAAATCTTCAGTTCTTTGATTCAAAACATTCATACTGTAATTAATGCTCTAACAGAGAAAATGTTTTTCAACAAACAAAATAGCGTCACCCAGCAGTATGCATTCAAATTTGCAGCAGTTGCAGACTCTCATTATAGCCAACTCTCTTCTCTCCTCCCTCAAATGCTGGCAGCAGAACTCCAAACCTGACTATACTGTCTTAGCCTCTGGCTTTGGTAGCAAGAGCACAGTACCAAAGATTATTTCAGTCATGTGTGCATTGCCTCAGGGCCTGGATACATTGTCCTAAATGTCAGATTTACACGTGGTTCCCTGGAATGATATTCCTTCGGTACACGATGCTGAAACAGAACCAAAACAGATTCCATGTGTTATCTATAAAAAACACGGCTAAAAAGAATACAGATTTATCAATAGCTGAAGTATAGGCTGAAGTGCCTGTTCCTGCCTAATCTTGGAAGGTAAGCAGGATTGGGCCTGGTTGAAATCTGGATAGGTGACTTAAATGTTGTGAACCACCCAGATATTTTCTGCTATGGACAGTATGGAAATGTAATGTAATAATAATATTCTTGCCTAAGTTTTGTGAGGAGTACAATCATGCATAATTAAGACCATAAGTCTAGGATTTCCTCACATTTTTCTTTTTAAAAATACAAAAGATCAAATATCCCACCTTTCCTTTTGTGCCATCTTCTGAAAGTTGCTTCTCCAGTTTTCATTGGGACACAATATTCTGTGTCTCGCCTGTATCACCACACAGTGTGGTTTCACTAAAGTGATACAGGGTTCCTCCTTCAACCTTAGTGGTTTATTAGAAAGTCTTAAAATAAGACATTTGTGCTTTGTGAGCCGTGCATGAGAAGCAGTCCAGTCCGACAGAAAAAACAAAATGCACCTTTCCTATTGAAAGGTATATTTCTATGCCTCTTGCAACAGAAAAAGATCCTACAACTCCCGGTTTTCCCCAGCAAGCACGACTGGCAGGATATGCTGGGAGCTGTAAGTTCTTTTTGTCCAGTTGTACCAGTTAAAGATGCTTCACAGTTCATTAACTTTTATAAGCTTTGGTTCATCTGTGGGTATGCTCTGTAGAAATCCAGGAGAGAACAGCAGAGCGTAGGAGAAAGGTACTCCATCACTACCTTCTACTTAAGATGGTCTCACCTGCCAGTCTTCTTGAGTTGCTCCTTCCATCATTAGCAAAGTTCCATGATCTAGTGGTATATGCACTCTTTGCACATAAGTAAAATCATTGTTCTCTTCCTGAAAAGGAAACATTTATTGCAGTCAGTGTGTAACCAGTAGCTCTATTATATAACCAGACATTTCTAGACTACTCTTTTTATAGCACAAACATCTATTTATTAAATGTATATCTCACCTTTCATCCAAAGAGCTTAAGATGTTATATGTAGCTCTCCCCTTTCCCAAGTTATCCACACAACAGTCCTGTGAGGTACATCAGCTCAAGTGATGGCAATCGGCTAAAGGTGAGCCAGACAAGCAAGCTCTTCAGATCCAGGCTATCAAGTTTTATGACTGCAGAGGTGATCTAGGTTCACATTCCAAGCCCAAACCACTGCACTGGGCCTCTGACAACTCTAGTTCTGGGTAGAAAGACTAAGTTTATATCTCCAAGCAGCACTTCTGTGGCTGGGAAAATGTGTTGTCCTTGCCATGTGCTTTGTTTCTGGGAATGTGCGTTTTACTCCAGCTAAGCGGCTTTTGCAGTTATTGTGTGGAATGCAGCTTCATGGCACTGCACTTAGGAGATGGAACTGTGCCAAATGATGGGCACATAATCCATACGCTGGCTTCTTGAAAGTAGTTTTCAAGGTGGAACATTTGGTTGGTTGCTGGACCAGTTAAAACAGCATTTGGTCCTTTTCAAGGGCTTGGCAAGGAAAGCTTGGCAAATTCTTCTGGATTAAAAATATGCCAAATAACTAGTCTTTCTGTAAAAGTTATGTTTGGAACATGTTTACTGTAATGCAAATAGCAGAAATCTCCCATGAGTAAGCAGACAAGCCTTTTATACTTCATTGTGCTACGTTACTAAAACAGGAGGGGTACAAATTAGTGATGGATTTTCTGGAAAAAAAATCCCAGTTAAGGCAACTTGCATCAGAAAATGCCCTAGAGCTAGGGGGACAACTTGTGGCCCTCCAGATATTTTGATCTACAACTCCACTTAGCCCTAGGAAGCAAAGTCAAAACAACAGGAGCTGCAGACCTTAACGTTTTAGCCCGACAGAGTGATCTGGTTTGCCATGTTTATTTCACTTGTATTTAATAAAACAAAAAAGATACCCCATCTTATTTTTTGTCAGTCCTTTGTACCTGAAGCACATCCTAGTTGGATACAGATTTACACTGACTCTACTTTTCCATCCCCTCCTTGTTGGAGCATCACCCTAAAAATGCTGTACAGCAAATCCAGTGGTGTCTACGCATGTGGTGTGAATGGGGGTATCCCAAAATCAGGTGCAGGCCCTACCTTCTGAGAGAGGACAGATCCTGGATGCAACTCTTAATGCGATTTAATCAGTATTATGTAATTTTTCTAATTGGAACAATGACCCACTTAAAATATATTAATTGCAACTTTCTAACAGCCAAGCCTGCTTAGTATTGTATTTCCAGTTGGCATCTGTTCCCTGAGTTGTGTCTTAGCTCACAAGGAGAAAAAATAGCATTTCTGAAAAGCATTCAGGTCAGATACAATGTTTGCCAGCTCTACCCTTAAACACTAACCTATTAACTGCAAAGGTGAAGGACATTTTAAAAGATTTTTAAATAACAAAAATTAGTACCCATAACAGTATTGCACCAAAGACCTCCAGCGTGTTATAAGACCCACCAATCAGGAGAATTGTTAGACACTGTAGTTATTTGGCCAGGGTTCCATCTTACAGTCTATTGATGACACCCAACTTTATTTATTTTCCATTTTATCCAAGGAAGTCTAGTTCTGAGTTTGATGGTATTAATGGACTGAATGAGAGCAAACAAACTGAAGCTTAATCCAGACAAAACAGAGGCCAGTCAAAGAGCAGATCATGAAAGGATTCATCCTGTGCTGGATAGAGTTATGCCCCTCTGCCCTGAGGACTAAGGCTTGTAGTTTTCCCTAAGCCTGGATATTCAGGTCTCAGCAGTGGCCAGGAATGTATCTGCATAGCTGCAGACAACCACCCACATTCCTAGAGGTGCCTGATCTGGCCACTGTCATAGATAGGTTAGGTACCATCCTATTTGGACTATAGTAACATTCTTTCTGTGTGATACCTTTGAAAACTGTTCAGAAACTTCAGCCGGTCCAAACGCTGTGGCCAGACTGTTGAAGGAAGATGGTTACAAGGGCATGTGACTCCAGTGTTACAGCAGCTTCACTCACAACTGGTCTTCTAAGCAGAATTCAAAGTTATGGCCTATAAAGACCTATATGGTACAGGTTGAAGCTCCCTGAGAGAATGCCTTCTCTTATATGAGCTTCCGGGTTCTTCACCTCTTCCAGAGAGGCCCTTCTTTTGGGAACACCATCATCAGAGGTGCATTTGGTAGCAAACCAAGAAAGGGCATTTCCAGGTAGCAATTCCCTGACTGTGGAACTCCTTCCTGAGGGAGGCCAAGTCCACTCCTTCTCTGCTGTGATTCTGGCAGGCAAACACCATTTTATTCAAGAAGGACTTTGTCTTGTGAGAGGGTCTGTTAGGTTGGGTGGTTTCCTTGCCCCACCCATGTAACTGTTATTCCCATACTGTAATGTATTGCTTCAGTATTATAACCAAGTAACTTGAGTGCCACTGGTTGGTAGAATGGTGGGATACAAACCATGTTTTACAATGGCTATTCATTTCTGTATGTACCACCAAAGGTCTGGCCTGCCCTCCATTGCTGGTAGCTGATACAGAAGAGCAACAGGAATGGGAGATGGTGGTGGTTGGAAAAGGAAACAGGCACTGAACAAATGCATAAGGTAGGGAACAAAGCACAGCTGGGTGTATGAGCAGGTTAATGAAGCTTATGCTAGTGCTGGCTCCCCATCCTCATCCCCAAATATATCAGGTTTTTAAATTTAAGGTCAGTGGAGTGCCTCATTCAGATCATGTCAAAGCCAAAAGTGAGTGAGTCATCAATGATGCACAATCCTGGAGGAGGCTGCTGGCCTTGCATGCAGTACAAATGTGGCTGGACAAACGACTGCCTGGGTGGGTATTCTGTCAGGCAACAAACGGAGCGGGAGAGGAGTGTGGGAGGAGCAGTGCTCTGGAAAGTCTTTGCACTGACAGCCGGCAGAAGGGCCTTCTCTGTGATTGCACCCACTTCTGGAATGTTCTCCCTAAGGAAGCGCACTTGGCACCTCTGTTACTTGCCTTGCACTGCCAAGTTAAGGCTTTTCTGTTTAACGTGCGCTTTTAGTGGTTTTTATTGTTAACCTATCATTGTTCGCTTGTTTCCTTTTCCTGCGTGAATATCAGATTTTATATTTATAAACCTGATTTTATTGCTTTATTTACTGTTTTTGTTGTTGGTGCCTTATGTTTTTTATTGTAAGCCACTCAGAGAGCCCTTGGGCTATAGGGAAGCATAGAATGAATGAATGAATGAATGAATGAATGAATGATTTATTTATTTAGAGGACTTCTATGCCGCCCCATTCGCCAAACCTCGGGGCAGCTCACAATCATAAATAAATAACATAATATAAAACAATATAATGTAGCAGTATAAGTCACCCTGGCCAGAGAATAAAATAAATAAATAATATTGACAATTAAAATAATGTTTGAATAAAATTTATTTGGAGTATTTGTATGCCGTCCTTTCGCATAGCCTCAGGACAGCGTACATAAATAAAAAGAATAAAATAAAACATAATACAAATAAAAACCAGATCCACCCTGGCTGCAGATTAAAACCTATGTAGCTAATGTTAAAAATTAGCTATTACTAAGTTTTACTAACGCTTATAACAAACAAGAAAGCATAAGGTGCAGAACTTATCCAAGAACTGGGATACTGCTATTGTATGAACCTGCAATGCTATGCTTGCATTGTAATTACTGTACTCATTCTGTTTTATCTTTCTACTACTATAACTAGTACCTGCTCTATGCCAAGTTGCTCAAAATGGTATACAAACCATGGTCAAGAAGTCTGCAGGATTGACTTGTGGCACTCTAGTAGAACTGTGTTATATGCTCATGTTGCTCAATGAAACACCCTAACCCTTACCCCCCTCCAAAAAAAAAAAAAAAAAAAAGGTTTATGGTAGCACATATCAATACATCTGAAGACTTTATGGCTCTTGAAGACTTAAAGCTCAATGGCACTTTGGAAAGATTAGCACTACAGTAAATTCTGTGGCAAACCATTCACACAAATTCCTGCAAATTCCTTCTGTCTCAACAGCCAGAATTCCCAATTCCCAGCTCCACATTCCCATTACAGCCACCATGGAGCAGCATAAAACACAGTGTCTTTAAATATAAACTGTGCTTGAGACATCTTTCAACTTATTTCTTGGCTCATGGGCTATTCACCTAAAAACACCTCTATCTTTTCAAGTTGGCTGACCTATTAATTCATGCAGCATCACCACAATACGCTCTTGCCTCTGCTGAAGTGATCCTACTGGCCACTGCAGCAACTTCTGTCTGGATCGTCTGACATTAGTAACATTCCCTGCAGCTTTGACAAGCAAAACATGATATTGGAATTCTGCACATTCCACTGTTTTGAAAACAGACCTTTTCCAGATCATGGCGGTCAGTCTAGCCAGGTAGAATGCTCTGTTCAGTACATCCTCAGATGCCCCATTGCCTCCTCTCCACCAACGCTAGAGAACCCATGGCCCTCCAAGTACTGCTGGCCTGAATCCACATTAGTCCTAGCCAGCATGGCTGGCGGTCAGGAATGGCATGAATTGCAGTCCAGCACCTGGATGGCCATGGATACCCTACCAGTGGCTTACAGAGATTCCATAGCTTCCCCCTTTTTAGGTTGGAATCCTATATATACTTAAGCTGGGAGTAAACCGTATGGAATGCAGGAGAACTCATGTCTGAGCTCTCATACATAGGACCACACTTTCAGCAGCTCTTCATCAGTGGAGTCAGACATCCTCTCTTCCTTTTCCTTCCTTTTGTAAGTGACTATGAAGAGAGCACCCTGCAATGCAGGAAATCAGAGTCTCACTGGAAGAACAACGTTATGCAGAGGCCGGGTTTCTAACAATGCCTGTTTCCAGTATCTTCAGAACATCACCAACCTGCAATTATTATCTGACATATACATCCCAAGCCTTCCATCCACTCGCCCCCGTGCTATCCGTTGCCTTGGTTACAAGCTAAGTGGCAGAGTTCCCACTTGCTAACTAGCGATTAGAGTTCAGCTTCATGGCTTATACTGCATTGTAGATTTAAAGCTAGCAGGTTAACTACATTGAACTAATTCCACAAGCAAATGCAGGGCTCTGCAGCAAAAGAGACAGAACAGGGAAATGCTGCAGAACTAGCGACCTACCGCTTAAACCAAGACCTAAAATATTCCACATTCTTTCTGAAACTAAGGGCCACTGTACAGGTTGCAAAATTAGCCATGCTGCACAGCATTAGCTTTAAATTCAATGCACACATTCCATACATATGTTTGTATATTTATATACATCCACGTTGGGCAAGACATAGCTCTGGGTTCCTCAAAATTAAGAGGAAACCCTCCCTCCCTGGCCCATGTTAAGGTTATGTGGTTTCCCAGTTAATAAGACAATAAGGAGTCCTAAGGCAACAGTCCTTTGTCAGCAGTGTAAAAGACTGCAGTAAAAGGAAACAGCAGGAAAATAGGCTTATAAGCAAAAACAGGGACTGACACAAAAACAGAAGAGGAAAAGTTACTGCAACAATTAGCAAACAACTGGACAACAAAGGGGCTGCTCTTTTGTGATAGAGGGAACATCAAGGGATATTTCCTGGGGAGGTGATATCAGAAACAGGTCTCAGGGTAAATGCTGGAATGTCACATTTTTTACTGCTTCCTTTAAAGAATTTGTGGACCAAATGCTAAGGGGGGGGGTGTTTTTAATTCTGAGGAACATGAAGAGCAAATTTCCCTTCTGAAGGGGAAACTCAGAGACATTCAAATGATCACGTCCACTCTTCCTTTTGGATCAAAGCAATAACATTTAACTCGGTGAGTCACTCAAAGTATTTGTAGGCTAGTAAGATACAGCATCTCTCACCACCCAGTGGAATGGTTAGACAGCAATCCCAGCAATACCGATACCCACAATTAGCTAGAAATCTGCTTCTCTGAATTAGCTGCTCTGGCTCCCAATTCTGCTAACAACTCCAAGAGCTGGTTTTAACCTTTAAATCCTTTAATAATTTGAAATATAGTCTTTTTCTGTATACACCTCTTGGGAGACCCCTGTGTGCTCCTGCCAAGTGATGTGAGGCAAGTGGCTGCTAAGAAGAGGGTGGCATCCCAGCTCCCAGAAAAGTTTGCCTGACACCTTCTCTATCATCTTTTCAGTAACAGGGGAAGACTGTTCTAGCTACACAGGCCTTTTAAACTCATTCTGTTTTTTAAAGAAAGCTTGAAAGGAAATTACGTTTCACTTTATAATCCAAGCCATAATGTGCCGTTGAAGGAAGAAAAATGTTTTTAGGCTGCCTTTGAATCATTATATTGCATTTCAGTATTATGATTCACTAATATTCTCTGCCCCATTTCCCAGTCAGTTCTGAAGTGTACCTTGTAAAAAAATACAATTCTGGATAAACCAGAGAGTTTTCTAAACACGTGTTGTGGTCTATGCAAAATTCTCTGAGATAGGTCAATTTGGGACCAGAAATCAGTTAGTCTTTCTAAGCTTGAAGTATCTGCTTATTTTGAACTTGGAATAAATCTGCTTCTATACCTACTTAAGAACTTTTCTTGTAAAATGCTCGTTTTGATAGCATTTTCCTTGGTGGACATTCTGAGCTGACCACATATATGCTCTGGTACCAATTGGCAAGAATGTCCGAGATGTAATTTCTGTCCTCTTTTAAACTCGTAACAGCATCACCTCTGCTCTGTTTCACTATAACTAGTTCTAGCATTCAACATCTGTGGAAAAAAGGGGAAGGGGGAGGGACCTGAACGCTGTTTACATTCCATACCAATTCTCTGGAGGACTCCACTGATTTGGCCAGCAAGTGCACAAGCAAAGCAAACTCTTAGATTCTTGGAGGTACCACAAATTTAAAACCTATGATCTACTACCAGCCCTGGAGACAGTGAGATAGCTGAAATCAATAAAAAACTAGGTAATAGTGTAAATCTAAGTACGTTTAAATGTCTGCAGCCCCAGATACAGTTTTCAGCATTACCGTTGCCTAGCATTTAAGAATTACCATCTATTTGTTACCATGCATTTGTTCTGACCAAGACATAAATCAAAGGTGAAGCTTGCTCTGCAAGGTTTCACAGGAACAGACTGTGATATTTCTAGCTTCAGAATGACTAGAGAACGCGCATTCCAACATTAACATGCACATTGGTCAAATAAGCATGAGAGCTTGTTGATATGATTTCTACATACAATAAGTATCAGATCTCACTGATATTTTAAAGCTTGCTTCTACTGAGTCCACCTATGAGAACAAAAAATGAGATAATATTATGGTGTTTTCACTTGCTAGGGCTGCAATAACACTGCATTATAATTCCTACTATGAACTTAGGAAGAAACCATTCTGGCAAAAGCCAGACTAAGGGAACATACTATACAATTTAGGATCACCAGAGGCAAGGCGAATCCCATACAAGTCTTTTAATGCTGTCACTCCTGAAACTTGAAGCAATGTAGAAAAGCAAGCACACTTACAGGCAAAGGCTTCTTTCTCATTTCAAACACCCGGGTGGCACCGAAGCTTAGTGAGGCAATAACAGGGTTTCTTCCCAGGGCAGGCTCATCATCACTGTGCCAGTCGACACTGTCCTTTTCATTCCGATACAGGTTGCAGAGAAGAGAGTTGAAAGTGTTTTTAGTAAAATCTTCAATCCGATCCTTCAGCATGGTCAGAAGTGGGTGCCACTGAAATCAGGAGAGAAAACAGAAATGGAAAGGAATTCACCTCAGTGTACAAGAGGATGGATGTGGCATGACAAGAAAAATCCAAAGTAATCAGGGAAATTTGATTCCGTGAAACAAAGCACTAAAACAGTGCTCAAAAGCATAAACTGATCCCAAGGAGGCTTTAGTTATTCACTTCAAATAACAAAACAACTGCCTGGAAATTGCCCAGTAACTTTTCATAATAGTTTATATTACATTTTAAGCATGATCTTTGATCTAGTTTGACCTGGCATGACACAATAGCCCACTATGGGTTAATTTTAAAAGGTAGCATGAGTTGTTTTAAGATTAGGCAGCCCAAATTGCCAACTCCTTGACTTAGAGTTGTTTAAGAGCTGTTATTTAACCCTGCTGACTTGGTTCACATTATGTAACAAGCAGGCTGAGTGCGCCTGAGCACTTTGAAAAAATGCTATGCAGGGGTGCCCAGTACAACACACCAGGTTCCTTTGGTAAATTAATCCACAATGGACTGCTGCATTATGCAAATCTTGTCAAAGCATAAGCCACACAGCACATCAATTGTCTGTGGGAACAAAGCACAACCATCACCCAGTTCACACTTAATAACAGCAAACTGTAGGTTAAGTAATTCATGATCATAATTACAGAATATGCAACTCCCAGTTGGACTGCTCTGTAATGTCTGAACTGAGGACAAGAGTTAATCATGGATTAAATAACCCCCAGGTAACTTAAAATTAAGTGTTAGGTGCAGGGTGGATTGCCTAACCAATGATTAACTCACAATGTGTAGGTTTGGATGTCATGGATCAACTTCTAATTAGCTACATCAAAATGTTAATACTCAGAAGAATGCCAGGCATAAACTGAGGTAAATCATGGGTTAACAATTTGTTGCTGTTGTGTGTGAATGGGGTTCATGAGTTTTACTCCATTCTTTTCCACTACTGCTCTCCAGTGTTAGATGATTTGAAGATTTTCTCTGATTTTACCTCTGACCTTAATATTCCCCCTTAATGAGCTCACTGGACAGAAACAGGGAGGGAAGTATTTCTCCGCAACCATGGAATAAGTGCAGTCTGTTGCGGATAACTTACCAGGCTACCATAGTGTACAATATTTAGAAACCATGTATTCTTCTTACAGGAGACATTTAAGATAGGCTTACAAATCGAGCATTGAGGACTAGAATTTAGCAGTGCAGATGGACAAGGAACAGGACTGACTGAAACATAACTTAGGTGAGTTGTGTGAGAGCTGAAGTGCACAGGATGATGCTTGAGCTCAGCGCAACATCATCACTGCCCAAACCGTACACAAGCTTTAAAAAGGATCCTGATTCTAACCAGTACCCTTGTGCCAATGCTTAGCTTATGAAAGAAAGGAAATGAGACTTCAGTCACCTCAAGTTAAGAAACCACCATGGAGTAGCACTTATGTTATTATTTTTAACAAATAATGCTGCCAAGACATCAACCACTGGCCACTTTTAGCAGATAAAGATCACTGTTGATGTCAGCTTTGTCTGAAAGACAGTCTTTCTAGTTAAGCCTCTAAAGAATCAGCTCTTTATAAAGTAAATACATACATCAGGGTTTGCCTGCATCGTAAGCCTGGAATAAGTGTATGGAAGTTCACCATACCACGCTGTGAGTCTGGGTTCATCGTAAGTCAGGTCTAGAGCAAGAAAACAGAATAGAGCATTTATGACTGCCACAGAAATTGATTTTATGGGGGCAGAGTAGCATATTCTGAGAAAGATCCAGGGTGTGCTTGTGAATGCTTAAATGTTTGATCTGTAATCACTCCTTTTCTGCATTTTTTGTATGAAAACTGAGCAAATCACTTTGGACTGTAATTCAGGACTTCTTTCATGCATAAGGGGAGCTTTACTAGACTTTATGTATATGCCTTCTATGTCATCTCTCTTGCAACACCAGAATAGCACAACTGCCCCCAAGTGGGCAAAGCTGGCACAGCACACTCATGCGTGCTATATTGGCCAAGCAAAGTGGGCCATATTTAAAAGCTTTGCTGGAGGAAACCTATGAATCTCCGTGAGTTTGAACTGCTGTTGTTCCTAAATCCCCTAATCTCTATTTTTGTGTGTGTGTGTGGGGGGGGGGGGCTTGGTGGCTGACCCAGTCATGAACCCAACTGGACCTTGTGCTATACTTGAAGCACAGTGGGAGGTCAAGGTCAAAGAGATCCATCTCTGCCATTCCACTCCAACTCAGGTACAGCAAAAACATGTGGGATTTGTCTGTTTCCAGAGATGCTACAGCTACCATTGCCAAGCAGACAAAAAGGGAGACCTTCACGATCCTCCTTTTAGCCAGGAGGCGGCAGCAGCAGCCGCCGCCAGGTTTTTCCACTTGCACCCAGCAAATGCAAGGCCAGCCCAGGCTTCTGCCCATGTGTGGGGCTGGCAGTGAGGAATTATTCCTTCTTTTTGGTAGCTCCAATGTAAGGCAGAAGATGCTGACCCAAATATACCTAAGCTACCTTTTCTGAGGTGAGGCAAACAGAATTGTGAAACCCTGTTCAAACCCTGCCACAAGTCCAAGCAAGTCCAAGCATAAACCATGAAACCCTTCTTCACCGATCTGACTTTATGAATGTGCTGATCCTTCAAGGACTAAGGAATCATGCCTGAAGCAAGAACATGCCGCTGCTTCCACGCTCCCTGACCAATTGGCAGCACTGTACTCTTGCTGAAGGCAAGTGCAGCGCTCTCACAGCAAGGGATGGCCAGTGCCCCAGTAGCCATTCCTGGGAAATCAGCAGCACCTAGTCCAAAGACTGTCTCCAGACCTTAAGAGATGGGAGTCGGGATTTTCAGAGACTGTGGGGTGAAAGTCCATTCTCCCACCTTTACATTATGCAGGGAAGAGTTGTCAGAACATCCGAGGGAACACTGGGAAAGGCAAGACGGGATGAACATTCCATAATCAGGGCCTGCTCCAGGTTTTGGAAGTCTCTGGTAGGATGTTCTTACTGTCCCTCCTTGTCCAACCAGCCCTGCCTAGCCCCCACTACCACCTGGGACCCATAGAAGAGGCAATGCTGCAGAAGTCAGCTTTCTCCTCCCTCCCACACAGGCAAAGCAGCAGGACTTGGCCAGCAGTGAGGCTGTAATGGGTTGTGCCTGGCCATTGCTACATTTTACTGACCCCAAAGTGATGGGCTGCATGCAAGGTGGCCAGCAAAGCCAAGCTGCAGCTTGGATTACAGCATGTGGCATTCCTACCACCATCAGAGAAGCCTAACCAGGGATATGCTTGCACTGTGAGAGGCTACAGTACTGAGAAGGCCCGTGGCACACATGCTCTGCGTATGCATGTGTGCATGCATGTATGGGGGACGGGGGGAGAAAGCAGCTGAAGATGGTAGGGGGGATCCAGACATGGTGCTGATAGCAGACCTGGCCACAGTAAAAGCAGGCAGTTAAATAATGATGATCGCACAATTACCCTGTCTGATGTGAGCTCTCTGCCTCCATGGTATCTCTTGGAGGAGCTGTTCAAACATCCAATCTGCCTCCTTTAAGTCAAGGAAGGCTGGAATCAAATGAATCCTAGCACAGGGGAAAACTGGATTACACATGGGTATTGGAAGATGCCTTCTAAGCACACTAATGTACAACTGCAACCTTGCACTTAAGCATGGCCTAGCCTGGTCTTACAGGTGTTTGCATACCAGAATTCCATCCCTACTTTGCATCCAGCACAGAAGACAAGCATGTTGCCAGAGGGGAGAAGCCTCCTCCTCTTTGCCCAGCATAGAAATGTAGTGAGTGGCTCCAGGATTGCCCAAGCTTTCCTTCCCTCTTCTGCCAGTTCTCTGCAGGCTAGTCAAGATTTTGGCAGGCTGGTGGCTTACAGGTTTAATTACAAGGCTGTGGAACTGCATTTAGGCAAAGCACAAATAAACCTTTAATCCACGGTTCTCATTCAAAGCTAGTTTGTTATGCGATCTCCTTGCCAAAAGGTAGCACAGATGCCTTGCACAGATAGGGCAGTCAAGCTTGCTACAGGCACTTTGTCCCTTCTCGGAATGCAGACAAGTGCTTCCACCATTATGTACCGCAAATGCAATTTCACTGCACATCTAGAGGTAACATAAGCACAGTGGAGACATTCTAGTAATCACTATTTCTAAGCAGATAAATGTTCCGCAAGATTTGCCAGGGTCAGAACACTGCGGCCAGGTCTCCCAGTATCTCTGGCTGAAGGCAGCAACAGGGGAGGGGAGGGGGGATCTTGTTTAAGGCTCTAACCCTGTCCTATTGTTCCACAGATGTTGGGCGAACATAAGACTGTGCACTTTAGACATCCATCAAATTTCATGCATTTTGAGAAGATGTTGCAGCTTTTCTTGATGCAGTTTCAATTTTAGTATTTAACATAAATTGCACAGATGTTTGGGATATAGTGAGGAATTCAATGCAGTGAAATTGCTTATTATATTAGATTCATCAGGCCTGCCGTTTAACATTCCACAATCAGTAAGGCAGAATCCCAAACATTTTTTCCACTGTAGTTTCTTCTGTTTCAACTGTTTTAAGTGTCAGAATGGAAAAGAGTTCACAAGCCCTTCCACCGAAAAATCCACTTCTAATCATTGTATGCATTTCAACAGCACAATTTCAGGCACAGCAGGGCAGAGTGGAACAGGCATTTTTTACTTTCTTTATTGTATTTAGACCCTGGCAACTTCAACAATATTCCTGCTCCTCTTACTTGTGACTCTTAGATAACTGGAAGATGCAAATCCTTGCCACACAGAGAACTTTTAGAGATCCAGTTCCATCTTCTGTCCACCCCTGCAGTAGTTGAAGTGGAAGTATTTTTCCTGTTAATACATTTATGTACTACCCCTATGTTGGATGGGAGATAAGGGTAATAGTGTTTTGCATGCAAAGCTCAGCACCACAGGGACAAGATACTTCTCTGGCTGACCCCCCGTCTGCTCGACCCTTGCCCTTCCTGACTGATCATGCAAGACAAGGTAGGGATGAGTGCCTGGATCTGGGAGACTCTAAATGCCTCTCTGAAGAAGGGGTTAGTCCCAGCTCCTTTAAAGGAGCCAGTGATGAGGCCCTTCCTGAAGGTGACGCTGGATCCAGAAGATGTTAACAACTATAGGCCTGTGGTCAACATTCCCTTCTTGGGCAAGGTGCTAGAGTGGGTGGTGGTGCAGCAGCTCCAGGAACCCTTGGAGGAAACTGACCATACAGATCCATTTCAGTCTGGCTTCAGGCCTGGGCTTGCTACAGAAAAGGCCTTTGCTGCTCTGTGGGGTGACCTGTGCTGGGAAAAAGACACGGGGAGTGCCCCACTTTTGGTTCTCCTGGACCTGTCAGCAGTTTTTGATATCACTCATGATTTCCTTCTGGACAGGCAGCCAAGTTGAGAGTTGGAGGCATGGCTATGGAGTGGTTCTGCTCCTACTTGACTGGCCAATTCCAGAAGGTGGTGCTGGGGGAGTATGGATCTGTGCCATGGCTATAACACTATAGAGTACCGCAAGTTCCCCCATGTTGTTCAACATCTACATGAAACCACTGGGAGATGTGATCCAGAGTTTTGGGCTGAGATCTCAAATTGCTGAGATAGCAATATGTTGATGACACTGTACCTCTCTTTTTCATCTGAACCATGTGTGGCTGTGACTATGTCTGAGCACCAGGCTAAAACCATTTTATCTTCTCAGTATTTTAATTGTGGAAATATTATATAATATTTTAATTTTGTGGCACTCTGAATTATTTATTTTTGTTATTGGTGTCATATTCTGCTTTTTACTGTTATTGTTTATATTCTCTGTCCTTATTGATCATGACTGTAAAATTGTTCTTGGTTTTATCTTATTGTGATGTTAGGTTTTATTTTATATTTTAAACATCTGCAAATCATCTGGAGAGCCGACTGACTATAGGCATGTTATAGAAATGCTTTAAAATAAATCAATAAATACATGCATACATTAAGTAGCTCTGAAACTTTCCAGTTATTTCAGCTTCCAATTGTTTAGCTGATATGCAGGTAAACTTTAGGGGTAGGAGCATATTCTGTCACCATCAACACTGCCCAAAGCACTGAATTTAGACTACCTGCGCCTGAATTTAGAAAATCTGTGCCTGCTACACAGCTGTCAAGCACAGCTGTGCCTGCTACACAGCTGACAGCTGTGCCTACAGCTGTCAAGACCCCAGTTGTCTCAAGTACTATGACAGGATCCTACTGTATTATTCTGCAAGAACAGTTAGGGGTGCTTGATCTGCTTACTGAGAGACTCCTGATGGCAGCGTGCTGATCTCATAGACACCTTGTTTCCTGTAGTCAAGGAGGCAGAGAAAAAGAAGCCTTGGTATGGCTGACCACACACACAGAATTCACAATGCCAATAAAGTTTAGGGAAGAAACATTTACAAAACATTCCTAATAGCAGTGAATTGGAAGTAAAAAGCAGCAAGAACCATTGTGACTGTTTGACTACTAAAATATGGAGTAGCTGGTATACACTGAAGACAGCAAGGTCATACTCACTCTATTATTTTGGGCTCTGGAGCTCTGCGCACCACCTACAGAGGAGAAAAACAGAGTTTGGTACAGCAGGCATATTCAAGGAGCTCAGCTATAGATCCCCCATTAATAACTCTGAATTCCTCTCAGTTTGGCCCCTTCAGAGCCACCTTATTGGCTAGGCATTACATGGAATGGGGGAAAGCATGGGAACACTTCCCCTGTCCAACATTTCTCCACCATTCTATCTACAGAAGTAGAAACATTATTTATTCTGCTTCAGTTTCTCTCTCTGAATGAAAATGAACTACAAAGCTAATATTTCGACTGTATTTTAATAAAATTTAAATAAAAGATTGGGGTTGTTGTTTTGGGTGTCTTACTGTATTCATTTAATTAACACACTGTAAGTAGGGGAACATTGAAGGGCAGCATTTTGGTAATCTAAATAAAATATTCCATTCAGTTACTAGTCAGGGTTGAGCTTAGTCGTGCAATCATCCAAAAAACTAGTTGAGGGTAGTTAAAAGAAGCATAACGATAAGATCATCTATTTGGCTATTATAAGGAACAAAGGTGCTAGTTTGGAATGCAATACCTACTTCCTACATAGAGTTAAAATGGCACAGTGGTTAAAGGAGTGGACTGGGACTCTGGAGATTCAACTTCTAGTCCCCAGGTCATGAAGTTCACAGGGTGCCTTTGAACCAGTCACTGACTCTCTGCCTAACCTACTTCAAGGGTTGTTGTGAAATAGAAATGGAGGAGGGTTACATAAGCTGCCTCGGGATCCTTGAAAGAAAAAGGTAGGATATAAATATAATAATTATTATTAGTTAGGACTATTGACAATGCATCTGATTTGGAACAGATTTTCTAAAGATCTATACAAACAAGTATTTATACATGCATGTAAGAGACACTGGGGTCCTTTGAACTGAAGAGCAAGCTATAAATCCTTGCTGTGTAGGTAAAGAGTAGAATAAGGCAGCGTGTTTAGTGTTTACCTCTTCCGGTGGTTTAAAAACAAACTGTCTTTTGGATGAAAGCCGCTCCTCTCTTCTCACCCTGGGCTGCGCAGGGCTTGCAAAAACTTGGTTCCGGGTACTGGAAACCCCAGAAGCTACATTAAAAAGGAATCCAATCAAGTTAAACTAGTTAGCTATATGTTCAGGAAAACAAAGAAAAGAAAACAATGTATCATTATTACTATTGCTGAAACAGTGAGTGCACTCATACCATACATTTATAAAACTATTCTGTTCTAGTTCCTTTGCAGGGAACTTTGGAAACTACAGTTTTGTGAGAATGCCCAATGTTTAAAGCAGAGGCCCTTCATCACTTCAAAAGGCCTTCTATCTTGGGGAACCACAAAAGCTTGAAAGTAAATTTGAACCTTTCCTGTACAGGCATTATCTCTGTCTGCATTCATCTAAAAAGCTCTGACCACTTAAAGAAGCACCCTTTCCTTTCATAACAAATACATATAATGCAAGACAGAAACATCACCAATTATCTGTTTGTTATGAAAAAACAAAATGCAGCTTTTGGTTTTTTCTATGTAAAATTTTCTGCTTTTAGAAATGTACTACTCCATAAGACTAATCTGTAATGTAATAAAAAAACACATTACAAGTTAGATTAGCCAACTTAATATTGAATTTGTAATTTATTTTTGCAGGTTATTTTCTTAGGAAGCACATGAATTTATGCACACAGCCCTAGAGGGATGGTAGAATTAATATATTAATCATCTTCATTTTTTTCTTAAATTAAATAATGTAAGAGAAGTGTATGTTACTGAGTTGTCATACCTTAAAAAAATTACTCTTATTCCAATAAAATAGTCTCCAGTAAAGAGGTTTGAATGACATTTATTCATACTAAAATTCCTAAGTGGTTCACATTAAAGATACAGTAGCCTAAGAAAACAAGGGAATATATTACAACAAAATAAGAATAAAGCCAGGCAGGAACAGATAATATTCCACAAGTGTTTAAAACTTGCCAGTATTCCAAGTATCTTAATCTGAAGAATGCAAAATGAACTATTTAGGAGAAGTGCAGAATTTTCTTTCTGGAAATCTTTCTAGGAAAATTGGGCCTCTACTGAGCAAGACTCCAGATAATAGGCATAACCTGCTGCACTCCAAGGGTACCCTAACCTCCCCACTGCCATCAAATTCCCCATGCCCATCTTCCCATTGACTATATTCTAGTCTCCATCCTTAAAAAGTCTCATACCAATTGCTCTTGCCTTGCCACTCCTAGCAGCAAGGAATGAGCTATGTCTCTCAGGATCATTCAGACCTGTGCGTCCACATGCATGCATATTGAAGCCCCAATGCTGAACCAGTATTTCATGAAGCCCTTGAACCAAAACAGCTGTGCACTCTGTTCAAAACCCCATGGAAATTCCACTCAGTTGGGGCCAGATCTCAAGCACACCCAACACCACATCCTGTGCTGAAAGTGGACCTTGCCATCCTGCCAAAACAAGGAAGAAATCCTGAAACCAAGCATGCCAATCCATGTGGACTTTACTACAAAAAACAACAAAGCTCCCTCACTCCTCTTCCCGTTGTGGTACAGGGTATGTGGACTCACACAAGGATAGATGACACAGTATGAATTGCCAGAACTCTACAAAATTATGATATAACCTCCATAGGTTAAGTGGCTGAAGCACACTTTCAATTCTTAAAGAAAACCAGAATTCAACCCAGACCTTTTCAATTTAGTTCTTTTACATAAACTAAAATATAAACAGGAACTTGCCTGCAGAAAAAGCTGCTCTATTATTAGGTGGGCCAGCCCAACCACCCTGTACTCTGGCTCTTTGTCTTTTATCTTCCATTCTTCCTCTTCCTCTTCCTCTTCTTCACCACACTATATTTCAGCTACTGTTGAAAAGGAATTATCTTTCTTTCCTTCTTTTAAAATATAAAGAAAATATTTAGATTCAAATAAATATTAAGCAAATTTGGATGTAGCTTGTATACCTAGAAGCACACCTCACTGAATTAAATCATACATTCTTTTGACCAGACATACACAGGATTGTAGCATTAAATCATAATTCATGAATTCGCTGTTTGATTTCAGGCAACCTACTCTGGTGCCTGCTCTCAACCACATACCCTACTGTAACAATTATTTTGTTGTCCTGATGCTGCTTTTGTTTCCACAGTTTTAAAGTTCTGCTTATTACACTGAAAGGTGTTTGTGCTAGTTTCTAAATATGTATTTTTAAAGAGCATTTCCCTGCTTGTTTTTTAAATGAATTACCATTGTACAAATATGTGCATAATCACCAAAAGGAAAACTGAAGTTTCCTCCAAAAATTACTAATATAAGAAGCGGCAAAAGCCTATCTAGCCCAGCTCACAGTGTAACTAGCCTGATGTCTCAATGAGAAACTCATAAGCAGGACATGAACACAACTTGTTCCATGAATGCATGTTCCCTTGCACCCAACTAGCAGAGATGCTTACTACCTCTGATGCCGGAAGCAAAGCAGCAACTGATAGCCTTATCCTCAATGACTTTGTGTCATCCCTTTTATTACATTACGTGGAAGTACTTCCTTTTGTGTGCTCTCAATCTCCACCAATCGGCTTCTTGGGGTGACCCTAGCGATGCGAGATAAGAGAGGAATGTCGCCCTTTCCCCATTTTCCACACCATCATGCAAGAAAAGGTAAATTTCTATGATGTCTCCCCTTCCTGGCCTTTAGGAGGGAAGCGTACATGCAAAATACTCATGTGCGCATCCTCCGAAAAGACGACCCAGAGAGCTTGCGCCAGCTTTCCCCAACTCCCAGAAGCACCCCACTCCGCAGTTTGCTGGTCCAACACGTCTGGAGGGCGGCGGGTCGGGCAAGGCCGGCTTGGGCTTTGCAACCAACGGCAGCAACGCCACCTTTGCGTCCCCTCTCCCGGCCCTGCGCGAGGCTCTCCTCCTTCCCTGGCACCCCTCCGCTTTACCCGACGCGCTCTCCCATTTCTCCCCGGGCCCCTTTCCGCCTCCGCGTACAATCCAGGCGCTCACTCACCCAGCACAAAACACAGCGCCGCCCGCCTTCACAGGTAGACACCAGCACGGAAGTCTCCGCCCACTCTTGCCCTCTGCGCGCGCGCGCGCACTCTCAACCATACGCCCCCTTTCCCCTCCGCACGAATCGGAGAGGAGAGGGGAGCCCACGCAGGCCACCCGATGGACGAAGTGCCGCGGCCAATCCCGCTCGCCACCGCGCCTACTTTCCCACCTCTTCTTTCATTCGCAGGTGAGGCGCTTTCGGGGGGGCGGGGGATGTTGTCAGCGGGGAAGGAACTAAGCAGGTTGCTCGACTTTCACTGAGCACAGGCTCAGGTAGGGACACGTAAATTTGCACATGCTTATTTACGTTTGCAAATATGTGTTTAATTAGAAACAAATGCCATAAATTACACTTTATAGAAGGCGCGTTAAACTCTTGCTTCCTTTCTGGACAGGTTTGAGCAATGTTCCAAGCTGTGCTTACATAAAACTTACTCTGGGTGCAAGCAGTTTTCCCTGGTCGTTCGGGCCTAAATCCAGATAGGCAGGACGAAGTGTTTAGATTCAGAAAATTAACATGGCACGGGAGAGTGGAAATGTATTGTAGCCTAAAATACACACCCTTAGGCTGCAAACCTACACGATAGGTAACTTCAGTTAAACTTTGTAATAAGTCCCGAATAAATCTTCACTCTCCTTCATGGATCACTGCCTTGTCATGGCGAAGGGGCTTGCGTAGCTCAATGAAGCTATGAGCTATGCTGTGCAGGGTCACCCAAGACGGGTAAGTCATAGCAGAGAGCTCTAACAAAACGTGATCCACTGGAGAAGGAAATGGCAATCCACTCCAGTATCTTTGCCATGAAAACCCCATGGACAGTACCAAAAGGCAAAAAGATATGACACCAGAAGAGAGCCCCTCAGGTCAGAAGGTGTCCAATATGCTACTGGGGAAGAGCAGAGGGCTAGTACTAGTAGCGCCAGAAAGAATGAAGCGACTGGGTCAAAGCTGAAAGGACACTCAGTTGCTGATGTATCTGGTGGTGAAAGGAGAGTCCGATGCTGCAAAGATCTATAATCCATAGGAACCTGGAATGTAAGATCCATGAATCAAGGCAAGCTGGATGTGGTCAAACAAGAGATGGCAAGACTGAACATGGACATCTTAGGAATCAGTGAACTAAAATGGACAGGAATGGGGGAATTTAATTCAGATGACCATCAGGTATACTACTGCGGGAAAGAATCCCTCAGAAGAAATGGAGTAGCCTTCATAGTCAATAAAAGAGCAGGAAAAGCAGTACTGGGATACAATCTCCAAAATGACAGAATGATCTCAGTTCAAATCCAAGGCAAGCCATTCAACATCACAGTAGTCCAAGTCTATGCCCCAACCACTGGTACTGAAGAGGCTGAAGTTGACTGGTTCTGTGAGGGCCTACAACACCTTCTAGAATTAACACGCAAAAATGATGTCCTTATCATCATGGGGGATTGGAATGCTAAAGTAGGAAGCCAGAAGATAACCGCAATAACAGGCAAGTTTGGCCTTGGAGTACAAAATGAAGCAGGGCACAGGCTGGTAGAACTTTGTCAAGAGAATACGATGGTCATAGCAAACACTCTTTTCCAACAACCCAAGAGACGACTCTACACATGGACATCACCAG